TCAATGTCGCTCTTCGTCCAAAAGGATCTTTCTGTTCCAGGATCTTTAGAAGAGGTTTGTGGTCGGTCCTCATCACTACTTGTGCTCCTAACAGATAATACCGAAAATGCTTAAGCGTGTCCCGCATAGCCATCACTTCCCTGTCATAAGTAGGATATGAACGTTCTCGTTTGGTCAATGCACGACTGAAATATGCAACCGGATGTAATTGTCCTTGTGCATCTTCTTGTGATAGTTCACCACCCAGACTCACTTTACTTGATGGGCTAATACTGGAGCTTTAACCAACTCATACATCATCTTGCTCCTTACGCAAGTGAATGTGACATCTTTCTCCAAAAGCCATGTTAATGGTCGAGCAATTGCACTAAAATCCTTGATAAACTTCCAATACCACCCAACTGCACCCAAAAACATTTGCACCTCTTTAAGACAATGGTGCAACCCATGCACAAATTGCCTTTAATTTATGTTCCTCTGGCTGCACACTCTTGTTGCAAACTTTCGCTCGTATTCTAAAAGATCACTCACACTCAATGAGTGGAGGTTCAATCTGTGCTTCTCTTGAGTGTCAGTGCTGTTTTTGAATAGCTGCAGGGTTAGTATCGTACCATACTCTGTGACTACTAACCATCCAGTTATTCAAAAAAAGCAATGGCACTCAAGAGAAGCTCAGATTGAACCTCCACTCATTGAGTGTGTCCAAGAAATTTTACTTCTTTCATTGCGAAAGCAGATTTCTTAGCCTTAATTCGTAATCCATGCTGTCGCAATGCATCAAATACTCCCTGGAGATTAACCAAATGTTCCTCAAACGTTTTGCTAATAATACAGATATCGTCCATGTACAATGCCAACCGATGTGTCCTAGAACCTTCTGCATCAACCGAGAAAAAGTTGCCGGACTTCCTTTTAATACCATACGGCATTCTTGTCCATTCCCAAAACCCAGTAGGCGATCGAAACGCTGTCTTTGGTCGATCTTCCTTGGCCAGTGGGACCTGAAAATAACCTTGGGCCAAATCAATAACACTAAAATACATGTAGTTAGCATCTGATAGATTGTCTAGAACCTCTTGAAAATTTCCAGTTGGATATGGGTCATTCTGAGTAATTTTGTTACGTGGTCGGTAGTCTACACACAATCGAACTGTTTTATCTGGTTTTAATACAGGTACAATTGGAAATGCCCAAGGGGTCGACTTAGAGGGTGTCAAATGTCCCGACTTTACATGGTTTCCTACTGCTTCATTAATTTTTTGAGTTAACCCCAGGTTGTGTCTTCTGGGTGGCACACAATTGGATCAGATACGGCTGTGGGTATTGTGTGCTCTATTGTTGCGGTTCACACCCACTATTTCCTGGGTAGTCGAAAACTTGTGTATTTTTTCGAATTAAACCTTCTAATTTTTCTCTTTGTTGTGTTGTCAATTGTTCACCGACTGATACTTCTGGGACTGGGTCATGTTGTGATGATGGATTAATTCCATATTTGACTCTGAAATATGTACTATGTTGTGGGTACTTGGCAGTTCCTGAATTGTGGCCGCAGTTTGTTCTCCATAAACTCTGATTGATTTATCAGTAGTATTCAGTATGCATATGGAGATTTTGTTTTCATCGTCCATCATTTCTGCCGAAATCCTTATCGGGGGTTGTAAGAAATCCAGTTCTCTGCTGAAAATGTTCCGTTCTTCAATATATGAATCGCTAGTAAATTTTTCATTCTTATCTTCCAATTTACCCCAAATGAATATTCTTCAAATGGCTTAATATCATTTATTTATTTATTTAGCTTTGCCAACTAGGGCAGGGTCACCACAACAGCATATGCCAATTACTGTGGGCCCTTTTTTACCTAACCCACCCTGTCAACTTTCCCTGTGGGAGGAAACCGGAGTACCCGGGGGAAAACCCACGGCTTTCGGCAGAGCGTTGACTTTTACTCTTTTCACATGGGGACTGGGTTCGAGTCATGACTTTCCGCAACTCGTATGTGGCAACACTTTAGCATTTCCCGAGGGGTATCTACTTCCGGTTGTAACAAGGGTTGGGACCCATCTATTGTTGCCAATTTTTTTCTTGTGTTCAACTATACACCCAATTTTCCCAAAGCGTCCAGGCCCAGAATCCTGTTTTGAACACCACTTACCACAAAAAACTCAATATACAAAATTCCTTACAATAATTTACAGTACCTTCATAAATTATATATATTTGTAAATACATTAATTAATTAATTAAGTAATTATGTTTTTAGTAATACGTAATCGTCCACACGGCCCTTTGAAAATCACTCTTTGTGAAAGGCTACCGTGTTTTTAAATAAGATTAATAATAATAATAATAATAATAATAATATTAATAATCGACAATATTTCATTTAAGTGTTGTCTTTGCCGTTCCGTTGGCTTCGCGTTACTTTTGTTTCTTTGTGTACCTTCTCAAAGTTGTAGACAAGATATGTTGTTTACGTCCAACACGCATAAGATTGCATAACTCAAAATGATTCGAGCAAAACCGGTCTTTTGTTAACAGAAAGGCTGGTTAATTAATGGCAATTGGACCTTTTGAATGACATATTCGATCGTTTGTCGTTCGATCCGTGTCGTTGAACAATGAAAACATTTGTCGTGAAATTATTGAAGATAAAATTGCAGTTTGTGAGAAAAGTGCAGGTCAACGGAACTGGAACTTTTCGTAAGAATATTTCAATTCCAAGACATGGGAAATGAAAGTGAACGATATCGGGACGCAGCAAACGACCTATATATATAAGCAACCCTTATCCTATTCGCAAAGGAATTTTATCAGGTTTATACGCAAAAGTGTTTTGACAGGGCTATTCGTGCAAATGTAGCATGATATTTTAGGCCTAGGCTTTGTGAACGTGCAAGCCCGGCCAGTGGCGTAACGAAGGAGGAGAATATGCCCTTAGTGTGATCTCGGTATGTTAGGCCTAAAAATATTTTCTTTCTGGTTAGTGGGTTTATCCACTATTAACGCCACGACGTGGTTTTCTCGTACTTTTAATTTATTGCAAGAGGGCTTTTTGTAGTAGTTTTCTAGTAAATATAATCACATCTATAGTGATTCAGTTTATGCTTTCAATATTAAACTGTCACCAAACGTGCAGGCTTAATAGAATAAAACAAGACGCCTCCTCAGGCGTTCACACTGGCCTCGGTTGACAAAATACACAAAATGTGGTTTGGGCTCAATTCCCTAAAAACGTTGTTCACATGCAGCAACACTGACCTTTTGAATGTTCAGTGCTGAATATTTGTTTATAAAATAGCCTTTAAAAAACACGGGCGCTGATTGGTCAAAAGCTACGGGGAATTTTCACGCGGGTTGCGTGGATTGTGCGGGAGTTTAAACAAAATAGAAGCAATATTTAATATTGAAAAACGTCCGAAAACGCCGAAGAACCGTCACAAAAAAGGCAACGCTTCGCTAACTTAGAAATAAAAAGCGAAGACCTAAAGCACAAAGTATAATACAGGATACGTTGTATCTGTTTGACTGTTTGCCAAGATAAGATTATCTTAATTTTACTTTGTCTTTATAAAAATATTTCGATTCCTGGCGACGTTTTTAGTCATGTTTACTATCGTTTTTAATCGTTTTTAATCATTTCTCAACGTTGAATTTTATACTTTAGTAAAGTAAACCTATTTTAAAAGTGCCGTCTGTTGTTTTGGCAGCGATACCGATATACTGTAGTTGTTTACTTGGCTATGCTTTAAGTATTCTTTGCACGAACGTATAGTATTAAGATATAGAATCAACATTTGGATGAATGTAATCAAGATCAATAAATTTATCTTTTTTAGTGTTTTTATAAAAGGCTATTTAATAAAGGAAATAGAAAATTCCTGTAGAGTTTATGGAAACACTTGTGCAAGTTTGGGAGAACTCGAAATTGCGTGGAGACACTCGCAATTCGTGCTCGTGTTCCCACACAATTTCTAGTTTCTCCCAAACTTCCACGCGTGTTTCTATAACTCTATAGAAACACGGAAAATGTTTTCTACTTGTTAAATAATGTTCTAGAAAATTCCGTATCTATATAACAACAACATCTATCTCTAACACAATGTAACAACTAATAAGTATAACTTTTGTTTTATTTAAATGGATAAAAAAACCCAGCTATATCGTTCTCGATGGAGGGCTTATTACAGTAGTTCGCCTTATTAAATTTGCATTTCCCAATGGGTTCTTAACCTACATTTTTTACGTTTTCAAATTTCTGGGAGATAGGCCGTGGCTGATGGAGGCTATAACTGTCCATGGCCCTTAGTTTTTAAACAAACCGTACCCAATTACCGTTACGCCACTGAGCCCGGCTATTGCATTAATGTTGGTGATATAGCAAGGCCTATAAACCCAAGACCTCAGGTATAACGTAAACCGACTGTATTCCAACTTGTGCAGATGCCATCCAGGTTGGATCAATAAAGAATTGTAATCGTAATAAAGGCTAATCTCGCGAGAACAACGTGGCAGATCTAATAGGTATAATTCTCTATTTTTCAAACAGGATGGACATATCTATTTGGCTGACTTTAAGATACTCGTCGGTGCTCAGTGTTATGGCGGTCCTATACTTGAAGACATCGGCTACAAAGTACCTGATAATATAAACCATGATGAAGCTGACATCCGTTACTGTGCTGCACCTCTTGCATTGTTCTATGTCAACAAGCTTGGTCATCTTATGCCGATAGCCATTCAGATTAATCAGGAACCAAGTCCTGAGAATCCAATATGGACACCACATGAGCCAAATGAACATGACTGGATGTTGGCGAAATTTTGGCTTGGTGTTTCTGAGTCAAATTTCCACCAGGTATATACAATGTGTTTGTAAGAACAGTAGTTTCATAATTTCCCTGGATGTAAATATAAAAGCTATCTATATTGGTACTTCTGTGCATTATAAAATTATCTTCGTCTCGCTTCGAATTCCTACTAACACTTGTACGGAACTTTATGACTACTACATATTAGTATCATTTTACTCTTCAATTATGTGCCGTGGATCCTGAACCCTTTATCCATATGAACAGGAATCCATTCGTTTGTTAATTTTCCTTATTCATTCATTCAAAATTTCGGCTTTTGTTTTTTCATTTTTCTTTACACTTCCCGCTATTTATCCAATTTAATCTATTATAGCCTAACCTGAAAGCAATAGCTTTGGTTAATTTTGTATTAAGCATGGTATGAGACAGATCTTGCCATTCTACTCAAGTAACAAATAGCTTTCCAGAATTTGTAAATTGCAGTTGAAATACCAGGGTGTAATGGGATTATTAGCTAGAATGTCAGCAAAATTCTAGTCTCCCAGTGGTTATCAGGATGTAAATAAAAGTTCGAGTTCATTTACAGTTGTGATAAATAGTATACTTTCCAAAATGCTGTTTTATAGTCAGTCAACATGTTTTATTATTTATTAGTCAAATCTAAAGAAAATTTCTGTGACCAGTTAATCGTTTTCAGCATGAGAACATCTTATTTTATCTTCATCATTTTTTTCTTCTCTTTCAGCTCTGTACTCATTTACTGAGAACTCATTTGACTACTGAATCATTTGCCTTATCAACATGGCGAAATCTGGCATCACCTCATCCAGTATTTAAATTGCTGCAACCTCACATCTATGGTGTCCTTGCCATTGATACCATTGGTCGAAAGGAGTTGATTGGCTCAGGTGGAATCGTCGATCAATCTCTGTCCTTGGGTGGGGGTGGCCATGTTAAGTTCATAGAGGAATGTTTCAAACAGGTAAACCATCACACGCACATGAAAAACTACTCCACAATATTCTTTTGTTTTTAGCCCTGGTTTCAGAGTTAATTTCAGACGGAGAAAATGAACTTGTTACATTGGTGTAAAAAACAAGGGTCCCTAAACCTGTCAGTTTTTGTATAAATATTTTATTGTTCAAGTTGCATCATCCCTAGTTCTTGCTTCTTCAGGGAAAAAATGTATGTACTTTTTTTTTCTTTCCATCATCTTAGGTCAATCTTCAAGATTACAACCTTCCAAATGCGTTAAAGAAGCGCGGCGTTGACGATCCATCCAAACTGCCAGGATATTACTACCGAGACGACGGTCTAGCTCTGTGGGAAGCCATTAAAGCATTTGTTGGTGATATCATTGGTATTTTCTACAAAAATGATGATGACGTGAAACGAGATAACGAGATTCAGAGCTGGATCTATGATGTCCACAAGAATGGTTGGCGTGTTAACCCTGGCCATCAAGATCACGGAGTCCCAACTTCATTTGAAAGTCGAGAGCAACTAATTGAAGTTCTTACATCACTCATCTTTACTTTCTCCTGCCAACATGCTGCAGTTAATTTCAGTCAGAAAGATCACTATGGATTCACTCCTAATGCTCCAACTATCCTGCGAAAGCCACCGCCGAAGAAGAAAGGAGAGGCGACGCTGAAGTCAATTATGTCAACCTTGCCAAATAAAGGTCAAGCAAGCAAAGCTATTGCAACTGTTTATATTCTGACAAAGTTTTCTGAGGACGAGGTAAGTTGTAGAAAGCAATAAATCCCTGGTAAGAAGTAAGCTATTTTCAAGTTGCTACCCAAACTTAACTCCCTTGGTCCAATTTTCCTGTCCTTTATGACTGTTATTTGAACACGCAATTCAAAATTATTCATGTGCGCGCGTACATGAACGTTTATGGACTTGCGTGAACATAAATGATTTTAAATCCGTGTCACAGAGTATAGATATACAGAGACGTAACTGACCGTCGTAAACACTGTGGAAGATTACGTTATCATGTACCCACTTTTTTTCAGGCGACCGGGCGAAAAATGATTAACTGCGCGTGCTCAGCAAGTTTAAAGTGAGTCGTCTTCAGTGAACTTCAAGTCGTCATCCAATCAGATGCATGCATCTAGTAACTTGCCGAGCATGCGCACAAAAAAAGTGGGTACACTAGTTACGTCTCTGTATGTCTCTACTCTGTGTCCGTGTGCAATTGACAGTTGTAACAACATTTTTCACATGAAACAACAATTATTCATATAGCCTTATATTGTAAAAGCCACAACATGATTATAGTAAGAGCTTGATGATGAGCAGTAAAACAACCTGAAAAGTTGCAACTATAAAAAATATTAGACATTTGTATAATTCTGGAATTTAAAAAAAAAATTAAATGTTACGAATAAAGGTGAAACGAATGCAAGAAATTTTATTGACGTTGAGGTTGGTAATAAATGTTTCTGTGTATTACAGCGCTATCTGGGCAACTACAGCGCCACAGCCTGGGAAGACAATGATGCTCTTGACGCAATTAGCCGTTTCCAGGATAATCTTGAAGACATTTCAATGAAGATAAAAGAACGAAATGCAAATTTGGAAGTTCCATACACGTATCTTCTTCCTGAATGTATTCCTAATGGAACGGCGATCTAATGTGAACATTGTTAGAACGATATACAGAGACGATAATTCTGTAATTTCTTTAGTTTTGGTTTTTAGTCTTACTCCATTTAAATTAGAAGCAATAATAGCACGAAAATACATTAAAATTACCTTGTCATTGTATCTTCTTTAACCTGTGTGACTGCATGGTTTTCAACCCAGCCGGCAACTTCGACCTTTTGTAAGCCCGAGCTGTACCATATGCGCTTGTGAGAGCAAGTTGCATGTATATCAATACGAAATTCATTGCGTGTTTAGATGTGTACGAAGCTGCACTGATGATGCGTGGGACACCGAAGCCTCCGTGTCTGCAGACTGTACTATATAAACGGATTGAACACTGGAAATTACGTTCGTAAAAATTAGGATAATTAAATTACGCTCGAAAGTTCTTAATTAAATTACGTTCGAAAGTTGTAGAATCCGTTTTTTGTAATTACCAGAACTTGGCGATTTTTCGCAATACAGGCTATCAAGGCTACGTGGTAGTCTTCTTGGATTATTGGTGAATATGATGATGATAATTTTATTGATCCATCTTTAGTTTAAAAATACAATGGATTTACAACAATGTCTATTAAAAGAGAAATGCATAACTAGGCATGCGATAATATTTACAAACTATCGGAAATTTCTATATATACAATTTGAAGTAAAAATTTAAAAGTCTAGGAAATTAATAAAAAGTTAATAAAAACCAAGTTAAGTTTTAATGCAACCCCTGTCTCATTGCTCGTGGGATAAAACTATTTCTGTGTCGTTCAGTGCCTGCAAAAGGTGCCTATTTAAATATACCGTCTCTACGCCTAAGCCGGGGCGGGGCGCAAGTTGTACAGTATAGAATATAAAGATTTGAAGAATGTATGAACCTTTTTATACATTGAAATTGTTTTCCTACCGTCGCTTGCAACTAAGAATGCAACCTCACAAGCCAGGCTCTCCACTTTCACTTCCCTCGCTAACACGCTCCAGCAGAGACCCTGGTACAGACTAGTCACGTGACACCTGAACCCACTTTGTCCCGTGGGAGGGGAGGCTGAAGTGAAATGCAAAGAACAAGTTTCTAGGAGTATTTATTTTGAATATCGTACATTGGATTGATCAAAATGTATGATCTACCTTAGTTGTTAAAAGAGTTTTAAAAAGCAAAAAAAGTTTAAAAAGTTAGATTTTTAAAAAAGTTAAAAAATTTCAGAAAGTTAAAAAGGTTAGGGTTAGGGGTTAGTGGTTAGGGGTTAGTGGTTAGTGGTTAGGGTTGGGTTGGGGTTAGGGTTAGTGTTTGGTGCCGCGAATTTATCAACATTTATCATAATGATAAATTCGGACGTGTTTAAAGTGTCTATGACATGAAAATCTCGAATTGATTTTTTTCCGATATATTGAAAGATCTATATTTATAAAACAACCTGGCAAAATTTCATGTTAATTGGTTTGATATTCTTTAAACTAAAACGATTTAAAGTAGGATAAATTGTCAGTAATTGTGCGAATTTCTTTCGCGCGGTCAATCAAGGTATCATATGGCCTGTGACGTAGGCGTATGGACATATCACAATGTTTTATATTTGCAAGTATGGCGGAATCACAAAAAGCTCCTGTGAAGCGAGGTGGAAGATACTGTGTTTGTGGCGGTCCTGCTGGTGTTAGTTGCAAAAATTCTACGCACACACCAGGAATAATTATGCATAAATTTCCTTCGGAAAAAACAAGACCGGACGAACGAAGATTGTGGACAAAATTTGTGAGAAGACACCGCACAAATTTCTCACCCACACAATACTCCGTTGTGTGTTCTGCGCACTTCGAGCCCTCGTGTTATCCGCAGAGCTTTTCTCTGGATATCCCAGAACATCTCAGACCGAAAGCGAGATATTTAAAG